CTCTGGTAACATTCCAGCTCCAGGCACGAGCTCCATGGCAGTTTCTGCCTAGTTCAATTCTGTCACTCTGCCTACTCGTCCAACTCCTCATTTCTATCTACTCCCCATTTCTTCATAGCTAAGCTTCCTCCCTGGCTTCCCAATTTCTTCAAGAGATATGTCTTGGGACTTCAAGCTATTCTCTGAAAGGTGGTTGGTGTCTTGAGATTGTGAACTATTTTCTGAGACAAAAAATCTTGGGAAGCAGGATCATACACTGGCTCCCACATACATTTTAGAATGAGATAGACCTACGTTCAAATTCCAGCTCTATCTCTTCGTGATGCTTAATTTTATGTGTCTACTTAACTGGGCTATGGTATCCAGTTGTTTGGTCAAGCACCAGTCAGTCTAGATGTTGCTGTGAAGGCATTTATTTGACGTGATTAAATTTAAATCAGTAAATTCTGAGATAAGTAGATTTATAAACTATAATATGGATGGGCCTCATCAAATCAGGCGAAAGCCTTAAGCGAAAAGACTGAGGTCCCCTAAGGAAGAAGAAATTCTGCCTCCAGACTCTGCCTCAAGATTGCAGCATCGGCTCCTGCAGAATATCCAGTTTGCAGGCCTGTCCTCCTGCAGATTTCAGACTCCCTGGCTCCCACAATCAGATGAGCCAATTCCTTAAAATAAATCTCTCTTTCTCTGAAGAACCTTAATATACTCTCACCACTGTCTCTGTAAATTTAGTCACGATGCTTACCTGCTCAGTGCCTTTGTTTCCCAATTTGTAAAATGGGAATGAGAAATCTTTTTCTTGGGGTTTATAAGAATTATATGAAGAAATAGATACAAAGTGATAAGTACAGCATTTCCCACATAGAAAAAATTCAATAAATAGTAGCAATTATCAGTATTATCCAAACAGGCTTTATGACACATGTTATCAGACCCCAAGGATACTGATTGCTCACAATTTTAAACTATGCAATTGTCAGTTGGATGTCTAACAATTTTCTAGCCTATTCCCTGCTGAGACCACTATTTCAAGTCTTAGACTGCTCAGATCTTGAGAACACGTTCTGCTATTTTACCTATGATGTACTAGTCCTATTGATAATACAAATTTTCTTTTATGAATATCAATATTTAAAACTTATAAGCATTACATTGCTGTACTTTTTTTGGATGGAAGTTCTATCAATTAACCACTGAGAGTTG